GTCCGGGGGGAGGAGGATGTATAACAATGAAAGAACTTTTTTTTCCCAAAGAAAAAAAGCTAACTGGGGGGGGAGGGGAGCAGGGAGGAAAATGTGCAACAATGAATGAATGGAAATCCAAGTTCTTCATAAACTTTCATTAAAAGCTCAATTAAAAAAAACCAAAATGGCCCATTCAAAGGAACAAAGTGACATTACAAGTGGATTTATTAGAACTCTGATGCCTAGTCAGTAGGGAATTGGGCTTCTAATCCAAAGGCTGTACCTCACTGGTGGTTCAAATCCACCATGGGCTCCTTGAGAGGAAGATGCACAGTCTCTTTCCATCGATTTATAGTCCCAGAAACCCAAAGGCAGGCAAGCTATGTCTCAGTTCCATCTCAACCACAGTGAAAAATAAAATAAAGACTTTACAATAATTATCTGAAATCTGCCCAGAGAGGTGAAGGACAATGCAAACAAAGACTAAATAAACCAGGTAAACAAACTATGAACAAAATAAGGACATCAAGTAAGAGAATGAAATTACTAAAGTCATTTCCAAACAGAAATTCTGAAGATTAATAAGCAAAATGAAAAATTCACTAGAGGTGTTCAATAGCCGATCTGAGCTGGGAGGAAAAGGAGCAAATGTGAAGATTAAGACAACAGAAATGATGCAATTTAATAAACAGAAAGAAAAAAATTATAAAGAAAAAGATGAACAGAGACTAAGATTTCTGGGACACTATTAAGTCAGGGAACATACACATATGGAAGTCTTAGTGGAAGAAAAGAGGAAGAAAAGGACAGAAATAATATAAGAAGAAATAACAATGGAAAATTTCCCAAACTTGGCAAAAAACATGAATCAACATATCTAAGAATTTCAACAAATTGCAGAAAAATAAACCGGAAGAGATCCACACTGAATCTCTTTACAGTCGAGCGGGGGGGGGGGGGGGGGCTGGGGGGGAATATTAGAGACTGAGAAGATTTTGAAAGATGCATGAGAGAAGTGAATGGTAATACCTGAAGGATCTTAACAACACTAAGTGCCAGTTTCTCCTTCAAAGCCACGAAGGTCAGAAAGCTATAGTGTACTGAGTGGAAAAAAAAAAAAATGATCAACAAAACAGAACTGTAAAACAAGAATTCTACCTGTCTCGACTTAATATATGTTATTGTTAGTTGTTATTGAATTTATTCTCATTCATGGTAACCTCATGTATGCAACTGTAGAATTGTGTTTGGGGATTTGCACGTTGTTACCTTTCAGAAACCAACTACCAAGCCTGTCTTCTGGGGCACCTCTAGGTGGGTCCAAACTGCCAACCTTTCAGTTAGCAGTCAAGCACTTCACTGTCTGTATACCCAGAGACTTCAATTATTATACATTGTGATTGTAGGTGTTTGAGTTGATCCTATCTATGAACAGGAGACGATCTTGTGCCACCCTCACGATCACTGCTGTGCTTAGCCCACGCTGCAGTCACTGAGTCAATCCTTCCCACCAAGGGCCCTCTTCCTCTTCACTGACCCCACCACCACCACCACCACTTTTCTTCCTTTTGGTTTTTTAGCTCCAGGGTTTTGTATATTTTGTTAAAATGCTTTGTCTTCTTGAGTTGCCCTTTGAAATTTTCTATTCAGCTTTCATATTTCATCATTTTCTTTAGCTTCTCTACATTCTAAAGCAAGTTTCAGATTCTCTTCTGACATCCATTTCGGGCTTTTCTTCCCAGTCTTTCTAATGACATTCTGATTTTTTTCCCCCATGTATTATATCCTTGATGCATCCCATAACTCTCTGGAAGATACACTTAGAAAACCCTAAAAACTGCAATTTTATGTTGCACATGTTGTTGTTATGTGCCGTCAAGTCATTTGTGACTTATAGCGACCCTATGTACAACAGCCCTAAACCCTGCTCTATCCTGTGTCAATCACATTGCCTCTGACACACCCATCCCGATTACCTCAGTCACTGAATCAATCTACCTCATAGAAGGTCTTCCCCTCCTGCGCTGTCCTGCCTACCAAGCATGATGTCCCTCTCCAAGGACCTGTCTCTCCTTACAAGTCCAAAGTATGTCAGACAAAGTCCCAGAATCCTTGCCTCCAAGGAGTAGCCTGGTTTAACCCTCTCCAGGATGAATCTGTTTGTTTTCTTGGCAGTCCAT